ATTTGGTAATAGTTTCATTTATTACTTGTTGGTCTTCCAATGAACCATCTAGAGGTATTCATCAATTTGACTGACGGATTGGCTGCATACTGTATCTGATGCGTAGATAACCAAACCAATAAGGAATAACTAGAGAGTTAGAAAAAACGTACTTACAGAATTTCGTATGGTTTCAAAAATTTATATATTTTTGATCTTGCTAACAATAAAAAGAAAACAATGCAAAATTAAGTAAATCTAAATAGGGGTAATAATTTTAGAAACACTAGATATTGTGTCTAAGTGAAGTTAGGGTTATCTTACCACACCCATGATGTATGCTGCTCGAGCTTTAATACATAACTAAGATCAAAAAGCTAACACCAGTCAGTTTTATGATAAACAGCTCTACATGCTGTCCCCTTCTATTCTATGTTACCTTGAAATATGCAAAAAGTCGTTTTTTATAAAGGACAAGAATCGTTAAAGAAAAATATTTGTGCTTATAAAAATTGTTGTTGATATGATTTAAAGGTTCGGTTCAAGTTGAGTTGCTAGTGTGTAACTCCCACAGGCAATATATTTTCCATGAGAAATTTTGTGATTGGTTGCTAAATTCACAGAAAAACGTTTGCATAATCACATATGTCTGGATTCTGGATTCTTAATTTATGGGGGCTGACCGTAGCCAGCCGGCACTTAGGCCTCGCCTTTGGGCCCATTGTACCTTCCCCAAGTCCATATCAGGGTGTTTTCCCGCTCCTCTACTCGTCAAGCCATCCAACTGCTTGAATGTACTTGAGTAATGCAGAGGGTGGAAACTCCCTGATATTTGCCATACTAGGCCAGATGTCCCCTAGTATGGATTCCCTGTAGGAGGCTAGGGCTGGACACTCACGAAGAATGTGCTCAGCTGTTTCCTCTTCTTCATTGCATCCACGACAGATTGGGTCTGTTGCTACCCCTATCGTATGTAGATGTTTGTTAAACTGGTAATGTCCCGTAAGGAATCCTACCAGTATAATAATGTATAATTTATTTGTTATGAATAATGATACACCGGTTTACATTTATCTTCAAAACTGTATTTTACTTCTCAAGGAGTTTCTTTTTTCACAATTTTTTTTGTGAAGAGGCGTTCTGCAGTTGGTCTATAAGATGTTTCCATGTGCTCGAAATCTATAAAAAAATTCAAAACAAATAATTATTTATGTAAGAGATACCTATTATTGACATTGAATAACATTCAAAACATATTTTTTTATTTTGTTCTCTTAGACTTTAGTCTAAGGACTGAAAATATATTTTAAAAAACTTACTGTTTTGCCGCAAGGTTTGCAACAAAACACCATCTCCATCTACAACCAACTCTGAGTAGGGCCGAATCCACGATGATAATTTGGAAGACATTTTTTTAATTATTCGTAATATCAATGTTCTGTTGCCAAGTTCGTAGATGACATTTGCAGAACTATAGTCTTTGCCATTTCTATTGAAACACCACTTGTTAAGCGTAAATTTGGCAATGTTCATATTCAGACAATTTTCTAACTAAAAGCCATTGTCAATCAACCGAAAGCTGTTATCAATTGCTAAATTTTAAGCAAAATCAACAGGTGGTGTTTCAATAGAAATTTCAAAGACAGTATCTATATTTACAACATCTGGCTTAGAGGCCGGTAAGTAAAAAATTCTAGTAATACGCCTAACTGGGGGTGCCAATAAATGAAGTCTTGGAAAAACCCGTCCGCATTGCTAGAAATGGTCGGTACTTATTTACCTGCATACTGCCAATAACCAACTGTATTAAAATTAGATGTTCACCAATACCACGAAAAATGCAGCAAAAATTTAAAAATATGCGTAAAAATGCACTTAATGTTAATATATGCAATATATGCAAAAAAATAGTTAAATATGCAGAATACGCAAAAATATGCATTTTGAATATTGTCCGAGCCTTAGTAATAGGGTCCAGTTTACATACAGCTAATTCGTTGGCTTCTCCACGTAATTATAATTTGTCCCTTTATCCGTTACAATAATTTGAATCTGAAAATTTTGCAAAAGTCCCAGAAAAATTAGTCAATGAAGCAGTTTTAATATTTCACTGTATAATAAAATTCTCGTCTGTCGTCTGTGTCGATTTTTATTAGACAGATATTCTCCGAAATTATTTACAAATTTTATATGTATGTTATTGAAGGTAAAACGCTACCAAAAAATTGTCTAATCATCCGCAGCAACATTATGATGACGTCAGCTCATTATTTTGAATAGGTGAGGTTATCTAAATTTTATTAAATAATATACTTGAGTACTTGTGGTTTATGAATGATTTTTGTCACAAATACATTAAAAAAAAAATTTTTTAGTTTATGAATCCATGTCGAATTTTCCAGTCAAAATTCTATAACAATATTTTGCAATTTAACATTGAAATTGCAAAACGAAATACTCTGAAATCTTTCAAACGGTTTAAGGTTATATATAGTAAACATCGCTAGTCAAAATTTATTCAATTTATTTGGCCGAATAAATTCCATACAAAAATGCAAAATTTTGTGAGTTGTGGTTCATATTTTTTGGACTTACTTAGACAGGGTGGCCCGAAAAAAATATGACTTCATAGTATTCCATTCGAATTGAGATACGTGTGTTCTTGCTAAAATATTGAGACAAAATTTTCTAATGGAAAACTCATTTGAAACATACGTCGTTTTTTACCGGTACTTTAACATAAAATCTGTACGTGAGAGCAAAAAGTAAGTAAGTCCAAAATCATAGTTTCCCAGAAACAAACAATGTACATATTAACGAGATTTTTTTTACAAATAAAGTGAAATAAAATGATTTAAAATTTTTAATATTCTTTTGTTTTTGCTTTTATTTAATCATTTACATATTTCTTTTTTTTATTTGCATTATGACAAATTAATAAATGGTTTCAGATAATTTATATTGGACTTAATACTATTATACACTAAAAGTTTTATATACATAGCTGATATGTTTTAAAGTCAAAACAACGTGTGCCCAATATTATTTTTATTATTATCGTAATACAAAATTAAAACATTTATAATTACAGTTTTGTTACCACTTAGAAAAAATGGTAAAACAAAAAAAACACTAAATTTCTTCTTCTAACAAATCATTTGTCTGGTCTGAGAGGGGTAAATTTCGAAAATAGTTTCGATACTCTTCGGGCACCCATTTCAACAGTCAATAGATTTTCAAATTAGGGTTTGGTGACGGGTTTCTGATCAACTCGACTTAATAATTTTAATCCTCTGGTTTGGGGCGACAAACTCATTCAAATAAAATTAATTTCTACGTGACATTCTTCCGATGTATAAACATAAACAATTTCAAGTTGTTTTGCTTATCGAGCGTTAACTAAGAAAGTATAGTAACGGAGTCCATCGGGCGACTTGGTACTTTAATATTTTCTCACCTTTAGACAGGGCCGCAGTAACGGGGAGACCAGGGGATGCTCAGCCGCCCCTAGAGAAATTTTTGTCTCCCGTAGACCTAGATAAGTTATAATTAACCAAATGTGACAACTTGTGCCAATATGGTGACAGTCGTGAAAAAAGCAAAATTCAAAGGTTACTATGTTTTAGTCAAGGTTTTAATTATTTTTATTAGTTGGACTTGCGTATTTTGTAGACGTAAAATATATAGGACTTAATTAGTTTGAATTTTAAGATTTTTGAAAAAAGAGTATTTTTTGTCACTATTTTGTTCTCATTAAAGCAAACAAATTCAGAATGTTCAAAATTGCCAATTATCTTAATATCGATAAAAATGGACTTACTTACTTTTTGCTCTCAGGTACAGAAATATAAAATCCCAAAATTTAATTTTATAATTTTTCAGAGGAATTGATTGTTCGCCTATACTTCAGAGGTGAACGAAGGTCTGTCTAAGTAAATAACTTTAGACCTCTTTTTTTATTTATATAGGGGTTAGCATGAAATAAACAAATTTGGCAAAATGAAATTTTATAATTTTTTGAAACAAATGGATTTGTCTGATTGTATTTAAGGGTCGAGAAAAGTTATGTCCAAGTAACCTTAGACCAAATTCTTTCCTTGATATTCTACACATCCTACATAAATTGTTTTGAAATTTGTCACTTTTTTGAAAATTGATAATTTTTTTGATGTTTAAAAAAATCTCTATTAGATAATTATGGTTTTTGTGTGTATTAAAAATGTTAAAACTATTTATTATTTTTTACCTCACTTACTTCGTTTTACTTTCTTTTACTTTCTTTTACTTCCTACCTACTACGTAAGCTAGGGAGGGAGGTCTTGTAAAATAGTCCATCCGAAGAAGGGCTACTTTAATGTTTTCTGGAAGTTTCATAACCCTAGAGTTTTTGTACTCCCGACTGACTGGATCACAATTTTTTTATTGACCAATTCAATAACGATTCCCTCATATTCTCAAAAATTTGGAACTGCAGTAATATGGCACACGCCTATATTTAATAATAATAATATAGGAGTTATTATAATAACAGTTAGTTACCCAAAATTACATTCACAACGTTTTACTCCATTGTAGTTTAATTAACAATTTTATTCGCCCCCTTTGTTCTGATAAGACAAAATTAAATATTCGATTATGCTGCTCAACCAGCTTGCTACGTGCTTAGTTAAATAAACAATTGAAGTTAAGCATGCACTGATAATGTATTTTTCCTGTTGGTTATCTGCTTTAAATACGGTACCTAAACCAAATATAGGCACTGTACCCAATATGGACACCATATCATATGGAGTGAGATCATGGGAAAAAGGAGATAAAGAAATCCATAATCTCGAGAAAGAACCACAAGAAATTACAGAAAAGATATAGGTAGGTATCAATTTGAGTTCTGAAATATTGTATTGGTACTGATATAAGACAGTCTTAAACAAGTTTGTAGAAGGGCAACAAGTAGAATATAAATAAAAGCTGAAGCTGGTACATGACGGAGTTAAAACTGACTATAAAATATAAACGTTCAGTTCAAAATAAAATTTTTATTTGTGAAAAGAGATACAACTTCAATAGCTTACAGCTTCAAAACAACAATTTTCAAATTAGAGATTTACAGTTTGTACATTCAGTGTTACTAATAGTGTAAAAGCTAATTCTAGAAATTTTGTTAATTTCGCCAAGTCAGTATTTCGCAAGTAAAATATTAAGTTCTTTTGTTGGAAAGCTTCTTTTCTTTGTACAGACATCAACTGAGACACAACCACCAGGATTTGCACTTCCAAGAGGCTTAGCAGTAGATGGTTTTAATTCTTCTTCGGTGGTTTTTGCCGTAGAAAGGTTAATTAAAAACTGTCGATAACCATTTTCGTTTAAGGTGTAACCAATGACACGAATGTAATACCCGCCACTTTTCCTTTCAAAATGCTCGCCGTACTGGCCTTTTGTTATTATATTTCTTTGGCCTTATCTTGTGATTAATTTGGTATCTTCATATCTAGCGTTATAGCTGAAGCCTCTGGTTATGGTTCTTACTCTAAAATTTGAAGAAAGTCTATAGGATCAGGGAAGGAAAATCACAACTGTTTTACTTGAGGGTGTACGCCCCTGACCTTCGTACTAGTTCGTCAGAAATTGAAAGCGTGTCTCTCCCAGTTGCTAGTTCAGGTCCTGGAAGTCCAAGTGCTGTGTGGTTTTGTGGAAGGCCGTATTTTGTAATAGTATCGTTTATTACTTGGTGGTCTTCCAGTGAACGCTTTTGGGCTGTGGGATGAACGGGAATTTCATCTTCGGGACGTGCAGACCCAAGCAACACCAGCTATAACAGAAAATGGAACAGCTATAACACAATATGAACGGCCCCAAGAACTAAATTCGCAGTTGCGGGTTGTGCCAAATGGTTAGTGGAATTTTTCCCAAAAAATGCTTATGTAAGGTACCAACTTATAAACTATAACTAATAAAAACATCCATCAGAATCTGAAAGAAAAAGTTGTCACTGTGCACAAACGGCTGGTTACAAAGAATAAATGTTTACGTCAGTGTCATTTTAAAAAACTGAATTGACTTGAACGAGGATTTTTGAAGAAAACGTTAACTGACGCAACTTTGTCAACACTTTGTATTTAATTATTATTTCAGAAGGTAATTACTAATAACTGAGCAATATAAACAAAAACATGTCATATGACACCAAAAAATCAAAGTACTGTCTGTTAAAAACCATACACTTATAATTAAGAGTAATAGTTTTGCAAACGCTAAATATTCTATATAATAGAAATTAGAGTTGTCTTACCACATCCATGATGTGTGCGGTTCTAGGTTCAAAACATTACTAAAATCAAAATAGCTAACAGGTTTCCAGGTCGCGGATCTCCTGCGGCCAAGGAAGGTCAAACTCGGTACGGCTCGTACGGGATGGAAATTCAGTTCAGACGTAGCGAGACAGAAGTCCGCTCACTGTATTATGAATTATGATAAATATATGCTCTCCCTTTCTACGTTATCTTCACATATGTATGTAAGAAAGTATTTTTCTAAAGGACAAGAGGAAAACATTATCGACGATAATTCGTCGTATTATCATAATTTAATTGTTGAGTTTACGCTGAGTTGGCAGCGTGTAGATTCTTAAACATTGTTTGTTATAATGTATTCATTTATTGTTTATAATTTTTACCTCTCGCGTGTATGCCACGGAAGTACCTACTGTAACAGGATCCATTGGCCGAATGGTTTATTTGTTATTTCTTGTTATATCACACGATGTTAAAGGAGAATATTTTTTCTACATTTTCGCCTTGTAATAATTTGTTTAAGCTCTCGGTACCCGATATTTTTTTATAAAGTATCTTCCAACTTTTTAAATGCCATTTCACCTACTGTTTTTATGTGCTTTTGTTGGAAATTTGGAAATAGTGCTGAGCATCGGCGATGAGTGAAATGGGGAAAGGAGGTGGGCGGTGCTAAATTTAGCTTTTTCTAGTTCTACGCGGAAGAAGTAGCCCCCTCCCCCACCCACCCCTTCCAGTGACTACTCTTAATATCGTTCAGCTTAGCAAGTTTTAGCCCCGCCCACCCACCCTTTTTTTCTTAGAAGATATGTCATTTACCAAATCAATCTTATCTTAACAAGTACTGGGCCCGCCCACCCGCCTTATCTCAATTCTGATGTTTTTTTTTATTCGTCGTAAGCCGAGGGGCAGAGCTTAATTGTACTTTTTCTGGAATTTCTAGATTCTATATAATTTTTTGAATTACTAGGATCTTTGACATCTCTGGAATCTCTGTATATCTAGATCCTATGGAATCTTTGGAATCTTTAGAGAGTCTGGAAATTTAAGAATAATTTTCAGAATCTTTGGAATTTTTAGGGCCTCTAGGATATTTAGATTCCCTAGAATCTTCAAAACCTCTACAATTGCTGGAACCACTCGAATCTAACACTTCTGGATCTGGATTTTTAGAATTTTTAAAATTTTTAGAGTGTCTACAATTTTTAGTATTTCTAGAATTTCTAGAAACTCTAGAATGGCTGCAATCGCTAGGCTCAACATCTTGTACAATTTCTAGAATAACTAGATTCTGTATAATTTTTTGAATTTCTAGAATCTTTGGAATCTCTGGAAACCCTGAATCTGTAAATCCTGTGGAATTTCTAGTATCTTTACCTTGTTTGATACCCTGTGTTTGATTTTAGATGAATGTGAACGAAATTTTAATCTGTATAAAATTATTTTATGTGGAGACATTAATGTAGACCCCATAAAAAGCAAAAATGATTGTAATAATTTAAGAAATATTTTAAATAGCTATAATATGTCACAAAAAATAGATCAACCAACTAGAGTAACACCCACAACGTCATCAATAGTTGATAATGTATTTGTCAATTTTACAGAGTGTGACTGCTCCGTAGTTAACTTTGAACTGTCTGACCACTATGGTCAAATCATAAACATTGTTACCTCTGAAATTAAATCTCAACAAAAAACCATAACCTATAAACGGATTATTTCTATTGATAAGTTAGCTATGTATCGAGAGGAATTACAAAAAGTTGATTGGTCATACGTATACCTAGAATCTAACCCAAATACTGCATATAACGCTTTTTATAACATTATTTATTCCCTTCTTAATCGCATATTTCCAGTTAAACGTCTAGCAACAAAGTCAAACAATACAAATAGTTGGATAACAAATGGTATAAAGAAATCATGTAAAAGAAAATGTGAACTGCATCATTTAAAACTTCGAGGCTTTATCGATAAGGATTACTATAACTATTACTGCAAAGTGTTGAAAAATGTCATAATGGATGCAAAAAGAATGAGTAACGCAGCGATGATTAAAAACTCTAGGAATAAAAGTAAAACTATATGGACGTTGGTAAATAGCTATATGAAACGAAATACTACGCAGGTGTCACTCATTCACAATCTTAACAATCATAATAATAATGTAGACGTTAAAGATACTTTAAATAGTATAAATCACTTTTTCCTAAATCAAGGATTAGCGTCAAAACCCACAAATTCTGATTACTACCCTACTGAAGACCAATGTAATAAAAGCCTTTTTATGTCACCGACAAACTCTATCGAAGTTTTCAATGTTATAAATAGTTTAGCTAACACAACATCTACTGGAGAAGACGAAATACCAGTTAAACTATTAAAATTTATAGCTCACGAAATAAGTGACCCTCTAACCGACATCATTAATAAAACAGTTATAGAAGCCACATTTCCAGATAAACTTAAAATAGCAGAGATAAAACCAATTCATAAAAAAGTGTAACAAGTGCATTTGTACGACTGCACGTGCAACCCCAAAAAGGTCATTGTCGCGAGCTGATTTGTCTCGGCTGTTCATCATGGGTCGAAATTCTTGTTAACGACCCCTTAAAAATCACTTCTTCCGAACCTTCCCAGAAAATCCCAACAAATAGATCCATATACTTCCTTTGTCCCATCTAGCTATATCCCGTCCTCTCTGCATGTGGCACTGGACCCTCGGGTTAACTTTATAGTACCACATGTCCGATCTTTTCCGAGGGAGTCGTTAAAAAAGTAAATTGAGTTTCAAACGTGCCTAGCCCTTTTGTCGAATTTCAAGAAACGGCACAGTTTTATAGCGACCATGATGGATGGGGACAGAGGCAGAGAAGGGCTTTGTTTGAGAGATCCCGTTATCGAAATGGTATGATGCGATTCCTCACTTTGTAAATAATTGTGTACAGATGTTTTGAGAAAACAAAAGGTTGGAAATTCGGATGGATGACGGACATAGAACTAGCCTACCACAGGTGGAATAAAGTTTGCAGTTCCACCTGTGAGAAACAGTCGAGTCATAAGTAAAAGAACGTTTGATGTGTTCGAGATCTATGTCTAGCCATCCTAGTTAAGTCGCGAGCCAGTGGCCACTCCAAAAAGCTGTTCGATAGATTCATGGTATAATGTAAATGATATTGTCAGGGACTTTTGATAAGAATTTGTCAATCGACGGCGATTTGAGCGGTTTTGCTGGTATAGACGAGAGAGAACGAGAAAGCACTTCTTTCCAACACAGTGGATTTCATTCCATTGGTTTTTCTTTGTTAGCCCCTTGACGCCGGGTGGAGTCTCCACTCTTGGCGAAATTATAAAAGAGTAGTTTGGTCAATTTTTGTCAGTTCTCTGGTCGGGATTTTGTAGTGTGCAACTCGTTCCTTCTCGTCGCGTTCTTTGTTTTAAATTTTGCTTCAAAGTGTCTTAGTGTTCATTTTCGTTCAGTGTTAAATTTTCATTTGCTTTATTTTCTAAATTTGTGGAAGTCACCGCGAGCGGTGATCCACTTGTTCATTTTGGTTTTCTTGTGTAAATTTTTGATTAATTCATTAGTGTATGTAAATAAATAAGGGTGACCGATTTTCAACTAAGTTGGACTTTCTTTTCGGGGACTTTGCGGCCAACCCTTCCGTTAAAATAATAGTGCATTGAAACAGCGGTACTAGTGAGTGACTCCGTGCCCTCGAGCAGCGAAAAGGGAAGTTTCGAAAGGTAAGAGAATTCCCATTTTTCTGTGATGTGTGATTAACACTTCTCAGGTAGAAGACCAGATAAAAACACGCTACCCGATTAACGATAATTTAATTTTTCAAAAATAATACTTTTTTTTTATAACTCACGCCCCAGCCTTGTTAGGCTGGTTACAAAAGGTTCTAAATGCAATTTCGAAAATTATAGGCCGATAGCGCTGCTCTCAAATATTTCAAAGATTTTTGAGAAAATATATTACAAACGAATATCGGAATATTTTGAAAATAACAACTTATTAGTAAATGTACAAAATGGTTTTCGAAGTAATAAATCTACAACAAGAGCCATCTATCAAGCCTTATCCAAAATTATAACATCTTTTAACTGTGGTAAGCAGACTGCAATGATGTGTCTCGATCTGATAAAGGCCTTTGATACTGTCAATCATCAAATTCTGATTCAAAAACTTGAAATGTATGGAGTGAGAGGCATCCCTCTACAACTCATTAAATCCTATCTTAATGGAAGAACACAATGTGTAATAGATTACTATATGGGACAGAAAGTTAAATCTAACAAACTCCCCATTAGTAAAGGAATCCCACAAGGGTCTATTCTCGGGCCGCTCTTCTACTTAATATATGCTAATGATCTTGTTCTATATAGTGAATCTTTTTCAGTGCAATTTGCTGATGACACTAATGTTATTATTAGCGAATCGTCTTGTGAAGATCTAAATAAATCGATTGAAAGAAATCAACAGAAGCTACAACACTGGTGTAGGTTAAATCATTTTCAGCTAAACGATAATAAGACTATTATACTAAAATTCAATTATAAGTCGGATACAGATTGTGATATATCAACACAAAATCAAAGCGTACCACCAGCTAAGAATAAAACCAAATTTTTAGGATTGTGGATCGATACAAAGCTTAACTGGAAAGAACACATAAATATATTATCATCTGAAATATCAAAGTATTGCTTTGCTCTGAAAATGTTATCCAAATCAGCCTCACCAGAAGTTGCAATGATGGCGTATACTGGATATGTAGAATGTAGAATTAGATACGGAATAATATTTTGGGGAAACTCTGTAGATGTAAATAAGATATTCATTATACAAAAGAGATGTATTCGAAGCATTTTCAATCTTAAGAAAACAGATAGCTGTAAACCATATTTTCTTGAAAAAAAAAAACTAACTTTAACAAGCCTGTACATATATGAATGTGTCATGTTTATTCTCACTCATAAGGATCTTTTTACAGAACATGAGCGCACTCACACTTATGATACACGCTTCAAAAATAACTTTGATTGTGAAATGATGAACTACACTTACCTCCAAAAAAATGTTTTATTTTCAGCATTAAAAATATATAACACTCTACCAATGCAATTAAAATTAGGAAATTTAAGACATATAAAATTAAAACTAAAACATTTTTTGTTAAAAAATGCGTATTATAATATAAAAGAATATCTTAATACCCAGTTGTAATTGTTATAAGTATGTTGTATGTATGTGTATATTAACTAAATGACATGTAATACGTCTCCGACTTTTTATGTATAATAAACTTACTTACTTACTTACTTACTTACTTACTTACTTACTTACTTACTTACTTACTTACTTACTTACTTACTTACTTACTTACTTACTTACTTACTTACTTACTTACTTACTTACTTACTTACTTACTTACTACTTACTTTAGAACGTCTGGAATCATTAGAATCTCTAAAACCTTCAAAACCTAAAGAATTTTTAGGGTTTCTAGGATACTTAAAATTCCTAGAACTTTTGGAATCTTTGGAATTTTTACAATTTTTAGAGAGTCTACAATCTTTAGTACCTCCAGAATCTCCGGAACCTCTGGAATCTCTAAAAACTCTAGAATCTAGAGAATCCTTCGAATTTTTCGAACCTGTAGAATTTCTAGAATGGCTAGACTCTAAAACTTGTACAATTTCTGGAATTTCTAGATTCTGCATATTTTTTTTTAATTACAAGAATCTTTTGAATCTCTAAAATCTTCAGAATGTAACGAATTTTTAGGATCTCTAGGATACTTAGAACCTAAAACTTTTGAAATCTTTAGGATTTTTAGAATTTTTACAATGTTTAAAGTGTCTACAATTTTTAGTATTTCCAGAATTTTCAGAATCTCTAGAATGGCTGCAATCGCTAGGCTCTACATGTTGTACAATGTCTAGAATTTCTAGATTCTCTATAATTTTTTGAATTTCTAGAATTTTTGGAATCTTTGGAAACCCTAAATCTGTAAATCCCATGGAATTTCTAGTATCTTTAAAACGTCTGAAATCTTTAGAATCTCTAAAATTTTCAGAATCTAAAAAATTTTTAGGGTCTCTAGGATATTTAGAATCTCTAGAACTTTTGGAATATTTGGAATTTTTAAAATTTTTACAATTTTTAAAGTGTCCACAATCTTTAGTATCTCCAGAATCTCCAGAACCTCTAGAATCTCTAAAAACTCTAGAATCTGTGGAATCCTTCGAATTTTACGAACCTGTAGAATTTCTAGAATGGCTAGACTGTAAAACTTGTACAATTTCTGGAATTTCTAGATTCTGCATATTTTTTTTAAATTATTTACTAGAATCTTTTGAATCTCTAGAATCCCTAGAATCTTTAGAGAGTCTTTAAAGTTTGGAATCTCTAAATCTTCAGAATGTAACGAATTTTTAGGGTCTCTAGGATACTTAGAATCTAAAACTTTCGAAATCTTTATGATGTTTATAATTTTTAGAGTGTCTAAATTTTTTAGTATTTCCAGAACTTCCAGAATCTTTAGAATGGCTGCAATCACTAGGCTCTACCTGTTGTAAAATGTCTAGAATTTCTAGAGTCTGTATAATTTTTTGAATTTGTAGAATTTTTGGAATGTCTGAAAACCCTGAATCTGTAAATCCTATGAAATTTCTAGTATCTTTAGAACGTCTGAAAACTTTAGAATCAGTAAAATCTTCGGAATCTAAAGAATTTTTAGGGTCTCTAGGATACTTAGAATCCCTAGAACTTTTGGAATCTTTGGAATTTTTAAAATGAAAAGGCATTTGCCCTAGAATCCGCTCTTTATAGTGATCACAGTTTCATGAACGAAAACATATTGAGATTTTTTGTATAAAGCGTTGAGATAAATAAAGTCAAGGTTTTGAGAAAAAAAACACAAGAAATTGGATGAAAAATAAAAGTGGACATCATAAAGCATTTCATTGGTACCGACATAAGATACTATTAAATAAATTTGTACAAAATGAATATTTAAATCATGTATAGGAAGCTGATATCTGTGGATATTGAAACTAGTCGAAATAAATATTTGGAAGGAAACTAAATAAATTTTTATTGCTATTATTAGAAAAAGCTAGAATTTAACTTAGTGTTAAGACAGAATTAGTTTCTAATTGAAGATATATTGTTTATCATATACAAATATTATATTCACTGTTACATATAGTCAATTAAATTTATAGTTACGAGTATTTATATAACAAAATTAATTCGAGAAATTCTGGAAATGTAACGCGGTCACCTTATCCAACCAAAGATAAGAGTGCATCTGTCGGAATTGTTCCGGTTCCACGTGGACCTGGAGTGGTACTTTTAGGGCGCACGCTGGTGCGGATAATAGGTAGTTCTACTATTTCGTTGTCAGTTCTGGCAGTAAATAGGTTAATTAAAAATTGTCGATAACCTTTTTTGTCTAAGGTGTAACCAATGATACGAATGTAATACCCCCCACTCTTTCTTTCAAAATGCTCGCCAAACTGGCCTTTTGTTATCATGCTTTCTCTACCTTCCATCACCTTCAATGTACTAACTTCGTAAAGGCCGTTGTAACTGAAGTTTTCGGTTTTGGTCCTGACTCTAAAATTTGAAAAGTGTTATAGCACAGAGAACATAAAATCAGAATATATTGTTTTACTTGAGGGTATACACCCCTGATTCTCCCCCTCGTTCGTTAAAAATTGTACGTGTGTTCCAGGCAGTTACTAATTCAGGTCCTGGAAGTCCAAGCGCTTTGTAGTTTTGAGGACGTCCGTATTTTGTGATTGTATCATTTATTACTTGTTGATCTTCTGGACCCTTTGGGGGTGTAGGAATTCCATCTTCGGGAACTGCTCCAAGCAATACGAACTATAGCAGTTATAAAAAATGTAACACTGTTATGGTGACGTTATGTTGCAGTTATATAATAAAAAAATGGATTGATAGTGTAATAGCACTAATAACTTTGTAAACACTACAGATCCTGTATAATATATTATATAAATTAAAAATATCTTACTACATTCATGATGCGTGCTATTGTAGCTTCAAAACATAACTAAAATCAAACGAGCTAACACCAGCGAGTTTTATAATAAATATATGCTACCTTTTTCTGTGTTATCTTGATATATATAAAAATAACGTTTTTTATAAAGGACAGGTTTCTTTGGCGAAAAACATCTTCGGCGATAATTATATTATTATTACTATAATTTAATTGTTCAGTTCACGGTGACTTGGCAGCGTGTGGATCTCATAAGTAAAACATTTTACACGGAAGAATTTGCGTCTATCTCTTTATGATTTTGTTTTAAACTTATTCTCACTTCCCCATCATAAGCTGGATAAATATTACACTATCACAGCATCCATTTTACGAACGATTAATTTTTTGTTTCACAACAAAAACTTAAAAATTTGTTTGGGGCCATATTTAGATTATTAAGACAAGATGCTTACAAAAATCGTAAATGTACCTGTGGTTTATGAACTCGCCTTGAGGTTTTCTCCGAGGCATCCAAATTTTCGCAAAAAATGTAAATAATAATATGAGCTGAGTTTCCACAAGGTTATTCGTCAGTCCGTTGCTTACAGGTGCGATTTAGGATTTATTATCCGTTCACGATCTTTATATAGTAGGGTTGGCCATGAAAATCTAGTGAGTTTGTTGGTATTCGATGCAGAAGAATAAAAATTCCCTGAACTTTTTTCTTTAGGTTATGTTTTATTAAATTAAAGGTTAAAAAATATGCCAGAAATATAAACCTTGTTGCCGATACTTTCAGTTTTCAATAGCAATGGCCAAGTTAACGGTATCCATTTCTTAGAAAGCATAAAACTTTACGCTATTTAAAACAGTTATTGGGCTTTTTGTAAGTGTTTATTTCATATGTAAGGAACAAACACTAAAATTTCATTTAAACATTGTTTTTATATGAATAGGGATTCTGCATACTACTATTGTCAGATGCCACATTTGGCATCTCATCTTTAATTCTCAATCATCAGTTCGTTCTGTTCGCCCATTCTTCTTAGAAATGCAAATTTCGACCTTTGTAAACAGCCTATTTCCATATCTTCCAACTTCTTTTTCCACTTTTCTAAGATTACTAAAGGGGTTGGTAAAAGACAACAACCTTGGTCTAGTGCTTTGATGGGTTTAGCTTTTCTGAAACATTTTTCTGGTCTTAAATTGAATTATTTATCTATATAGCTGTTCCTAATGCTTACGTAAGTGCTCTTTATTTGCTTTTACTAAGTACTTTCAAACGCTTATTAATAAGAACGTTACTATACGCCTTCTCCAGGTCCATGAAGAGTTACAAAAAAAAATGAAAATGCTTAAAATTTGGTGCAAAGTAACAATGTGGATGATCTAACTAAAATTATACTCATTTTGTTGTACGTCAGGTGGTTTTTCACATACTACCTTGGTAAATTTAGAACGAAAGATGCATAAAAATTTCACCCCCCGACAAGCTGCAATTCACTCCATTTCCATTATTTCGCTATGAAAATCTGTGTCATCACCGTCATTTTCAAATTCAGATTCTGAATCAGATTCACCTAGCGAAATAATGAAAGCAGATATAGATTCGTAGGAAAGATTTCCAATATTTTTTTCCCAGTCTGCCAAAATAAGTTTTTCACCATGTTTACAAAAATTTTGCCACATGCTTGGAGTACATTTAGAAAGCGCCTCAAGCCATAAATTCTCCACCCTATTTTTTAATGAAGGTTGAGAATTTATATGCTTGTTGTAATAGTTCTTACAAAATTTCCACGCCATTTCAATTGGATTATATTGACAATGGTACGGAGGTGATCTAAGAATAAGAACTTCATGGCCACTTTCTTTTAATGCCTCGTCTACCAAATATCTTTTTTTTCTATTGTTTCTGAAGGGTTTAATTAAATCCCACAACTGTTTCTTCAAAAAATTTTTGTCAAATTCAACACTATGTTGAAATAGCCATTTCTGTATTTAACATTTTTTACTAGTAAAAGTGGGTGGTTTATCCAACTGAACAGAATGATAGGGTGCATTGTCTAAAACCACTACACATTTTTGGTTGAACTTTGCCAAAGCAGGAATGAGCTGATTAACCACCCAATTTTGAAAAATTGTCCCGTCCATCGTTTTATGATAGTCTCTATCGTAATTTTTTTAATTAAAAAATTGTTACAACCATCTAAGAACCCTGTTGAACAACCCGCGTGGAAAATAGTAAACCTTGATCCTTCACTGTTAATATTAGTGGGATTGCTTTTTAGATCTGTATCATGCACCCAGCGACGAATGGACGAACCATTTTGATAGATCCATGTTTGATCCAAATACACGAAAGTCAAATTTTCACAAGAATTTAGAAACTGTAAATATGTAACCCATTAACTTAAGAATTTTGTATAATGTGATTCACCCCCCTTTAAATTCCAACTGATCCCTAGAACATGCCAAAATAGTATCTACAGTGAAATATTTGTTTTTTTCAGTAAGTTGCCAAATTTGTCGTTGCAGGTCTTTCCGAAACATATAATTTGTAAATAAATCTGTTGGTTTTCGCTTGCCAGATAGTGGTGTTTTTAAATTTTGGTCCCCTGTTGATAAACTGACAAAATTAAAACATTTGTTTGCTTGATTAAAAAATTGCGTCTAATAATTCTGATTTAATAAATGAAGTAGATAAGTGGCAATCCAGCTCAAAGCAAATTTCAATCAGACTACTGACGGACAAAAAACTAAATCATCAAATCAGTTTATCCAACTTAAAGAAAAAATATTAAAGCCTACTTGAATGGATAATACGTACCCTTGCTGGAATGTTGAACATTTTCAAATGGGAAACTCACAAGTACAGGCACAAAATCAAATTCTTTAGTTTTTTACTTACCTTACTTATATCCTTTAAACTTGCTCCAGGTAATTAATGATATGAAATTTGTTACTATTAACGGTTTTCACTCGTACGTTTTTTTCTCAGAGTATATAAGAAATATATGTTGTCCAACAAGATATTTCTTTTCACAGTTGAAATCGTGTGACAAAGATAGGAGTTTTTGTACAAGGAGTTGAGATAAAGATAGTGAAGATTTTGAGAAAGGACCACAAAATTTGGCTAGAAATTTTATAAAGTATAAAAAAAAAACAAAATAATTAAAATAACTTGAGTTTTGAAGCGTTATTAGTTCTAAGCCAAGATATTATTAAACAAGTATGTACAAGCTATAGAATTGGTGTATAAATGGAGGATGAACCCGATATATTATGATACTAAATCTGGTCATAGAACAGAATAGAGATACTCCTAAAATTATTTATCATTATTAAAAACAACAATTTCCTAACTAGAGGTTCAAGGTGTTTATATCAAGCATTTACTAAGATTACATATTTTTTTAAGTCTTCAATAGTTATGATTATTTTTTTTTGGTAATGTTGAATTCATTTTAAACTTAGGTATCAGTGAAGAAAAAAGCAACTCGTCACGTCGTCATTTGATTGATCATCTATAGGTTTCAAATTTCAAAGATTAAATAAAATATATGTGCTAAGTGAAACACACTAAAACATTAGCATGATTTTAAAAACGAAATGTTACAAATTACCATCAAACAAATTTTTCGATTTTAAATATCTCACAAGATACATTACCAAGTTAAAGGTTAAAAATTTAAGTAGTGTTGCATATGTCACTTGACGCTTATGAATAAAACTCCGATGTGAGTTAGAAACCGTACTTGTAGAAGGCTTACTGTCGCCGACAATAGATGGTGTTACTTCTTCCTTGATGGTTTCTGCTGTACAAAGACTAATTAAAAACTGTCGATAACCATTCTCGTCTAAGGTGTAACCAATGACACGAATGTAGTACCCCCCACTTTTTCTTTCGAAGTGTTCGCCATACTGGCCTTTGGTTATTATAGTTTTTTGGTTTTCTGTCGTCTTTAATTTAGTATCTTCATACCGGGCGTTGTAACTGAAGCTTTTGGTTATCGTCCGTACTCTAGAATTTGAGAAAATTCATACCAATAGACATAAAATCACAAAATATATATAGTTTTACTTAAGGGTGTACGTCCCTGATTTTCCCGATACTAGTTGGTCAGGAGTTGAACATGTGTACTCTCTAGCTTCTAGTTCAGGTCCCGGAAGTCCAAGCGCTTGGAAGTTTTGTGGAAGACCGTATTTTGTGATAGTGTCATTGATTACTTGTTGGTCTTCGACTGAACCCTTTCGGCCGGTGGGGTCGGTATGAACTTTATCTTCAGTAAGTGCGGCCTCAAGCAACACAAACTATAGCAGTTATAATTTATAAAACAAAAAAATAGCAGGGTTAAAACCATGTTTAATTATACATATACAGGGTCGCTAAAAGTATGAAAGCAGTTGAATAACGTAAAAATGTATGTGGAGTGTGGAGTTATTTATGTTCAAATCTTGTTCGTCTGTTATGAATTTCCTATGTTTTCGTTTCATCGAACTACTTCAGCCAAACAGTAAACACAAACTCTAAAGTGAATATTTATTTACATATATTTAATTAACACAAAGGTAATTACCGATATGACGCACGCATTAGGTTAATTTTACCAAAATCAGGGCCAAAGATAAATATGACTTTTACAAAACTATGTATAATTCGGAGAGTTTCAATATCAACGCACTAGGTTTTACAAGAAAATAATTTGATAAATATTTGTAAACGATATAATAATGATAATTTCTTTAATAAATATCATTTTTGTAAAAAACATACTTCTATAAAAACTAAAGAATATACAAAATTTAATAAACGTATACTGGAAATCCAGAGTTATTCTTACCACATTCATGATGCGTACTGTCGAAACTTCAAAACGTAACTAATATTCAAAAAGTTTTGTGGTAAATAGATTGTGCCTCTTTGTATGTTAATCCTGATGCAATTAGATATTATTAATAAACTTTTATTGTTCAGTTCACGCTAAGTTGGCAGCGTGTAATATTTACGTTTTGCTTAGGAGATTAGTTGCTTATGTTGAAAATTGATTTTCATTTGCCCAGCATTAAATGGGTAAATGTTGTAAAAAGATTAATTTGATGAATGGTGAATTAATGTATTTTGCCATCATAGTTGGAAGGCGATGTTTGTGTTGAGACGGATCGTAATAGTTTTTACAAAAATATTAACATTGAATTAGTTTTTAGTAGTGGGAAATATAAAAGTTACAATTAGAGAGCGGATTTCTAGGTTTAATGCTTTTTGTGAAAAGTGTAAACACTGCAAAACTTTTTTATATCTGTAACTATGATATAATTTGGAGTCATTTGACACATTTTTTTTTATGCTTATTTGCTTTTTTTTCAATTTTATGCATATTAAAACTTATATGCTTATTTAATGCTTTTTTCGCCGAATATGAGTTTTAATGCATATTTTGTTCAAATGCCGGCCTTGTCGGGGTGACAAATACTTGTTAGTTAGGCGTATCGTATCGTATGCATTTTACCTGGACTTGACCATTGAAGTACACTTACTCAAGACCCTTTCTGTGAATAGGTTCCGGTCGTTTGGGTAATAAAATTTTATTATAGGATTGGAAAAATACTCCATAGATTTTAGGACTTTAAATCCTTACTTCCGTTGATGATGAATTAAAGCTTTTAACCAAATGTTCTTTTTCGGCATTTTACGGCAAGACCGTTGAAGATTTTCTAGAAAAAAGGATGATTGTACCCAACTACCTACCTTAAAATTTTTCTAATGGAAACTTTTAAGTAAATGAACCGTTTATTTCACAACCATCAGTCTATCGCATCTGTCGTAGTACAGTGTTATAAGTGGTTCTGCCTTGTTACATGTTGAGTTCTTTTTGGTAATATTACTAATATTTTAAAAGAATGCTGAAAGTAAAATCGACGCCGGATGAGTAGATAAGGGATTTTCCAGAATTAAAATTAGAAAACAACAAAATATTCTGCAGAGCTTGTGTGAAAACTGTAGGCCCACTAATTTTTTTTTATCTATTTTCCCTTGTTAATCCTGTATATGTACGTTATTTTAGATTCAAAGTGATAAAAAATATAACGTGACGCAACATGTCAGAACGACTCTTCATGTAGAAAGGAAGAAAATGTTTGAAGTTTCTAAAATTAAACAGCAGACCATACATGAATCTGTTGCATCTACTTTCACAAAAGATGAGCAGTTTCAGTTTAATTTCGATTTATGTAAAATGATGATCCAGTCCAATATACCTTTAAAAAAATTGGAGAAAGGCCCTCTTCAAGAATTCCTTGAAAAACACTGCAATCGACATATTCCGGTTGAAAGTACTCTCCGAAAAAATTATGTAGGCCCAGTGTTTCAGCAAGTTTACAACGAAATTAAACATCGCATTGGAGATAATTATTTATGGTTCGCTGTCGATGAAACAACCGATAGTTGTGGAAGATACGTGGCAAGTTTAATTGTTGGAATCTTAAATGAAAATTTCCCTAGTCGAGGGTATGTAGTAAGTTTGAAAATGTTAGATATAACAAATGGCAATACCAGCCCCGTAGCTACGGGGGGGCAAGATGGGGCTGAGCCCCCCCTAGCAGTTGTGGTTGCCCCCCCTGGAACACTTACACATTATAAATTTCAAATTAGTAACAAAATTTCAATATAATGCCGATTGCTGAAGTATATTTACTAGCCCCACCCGCCCATCCTTTATTTTCGTACAGGGTATGTTATTTGGCAATATAGGTATACGAATTTTTAGATGCAGTACAGCTGTTTGTGAATCTACATTCTCTGAATAGATCGCAATGACGCATCAAAGATTGGCAAACTTGGTTTTTCTGGCTTTTGAAAAGTACCGTACCAATTCTTTGGATTTGGACAGGTTTTTGCGAAAATTTAATAGTGGAAAAAACGACGTTTACAATTATTTTAATGAAAAAATAAAGCAGTTATCTAAGTGTATTATTAAAATATATATATTTTCCTCCATGAAGCCCCCTCTTTCGACAAACTTGCCCCCCCTGAATACATTTTCTAGATACGGGGCTGGGCAATACGATTACCAGATTTGTAAATGACAGTCTTACGTCACTATTTTTGCCAAATGCCGTACCGGCGAATAAAATTTTATTGATGATCTCGGATGCAGCTCGTTATATGTTGAAAGCAGGGAATAATCTAAAAATGTTGTACCCCAATTTAATTCACTCTACTTGCATTGCCCACGGTTTAAACAGAGTGGCTGAAGGAATACGTTTGCAGTTTCCTGCTGTTAATAAATTAGTGGCAAATGGTAAAAAGATTTTTGTTAAAGCCCCACTAAGAGTGCAACATTTTAAGGAAAAATTTCCAAACATACCATTGCCCCCAGAGCCGATTATAACGAGGTGGGGAACATGGTTACAGGCCACATTTTATTATGACAAATATATAAAAGAATTTGAGGAAGTAGTTACGGAGTTTAGCGAAGATTCTTCTCAATCGATTAAAGATTGCATAAATATTTTGAAAAACAAAGATTTGCGACAAGATCTAGCTTTTCTAAGAAGCAATTATCAATTCGTATGTGAGGTAATAGAAAAGTTAGAAAAACCCAACATGTTGTTGGTAGATGCCATAAACTTAATGAAAGAATTTAAACAACAAGCAAACGCAGTAAGGGGTGATATTGGTACTAGAGTATCTCAAAAACTTGACGAAGTGTTAAATAAAAAGGCAGGTTTCGGTGTTCTTTCCGACGTTGCTCGTGTTTTACAAGGCCAGAAGGTGGAAAATTTGGAGTTAGATTCAACATTAGTTGCAAAATTCAAATTTGCGCCAACAACGAGTGTGGATGTTGAACGCACATTCTCCAATTTTAAACACATTTTAAATGATCGGCGAAAAAATTTTACAGTGGACAACTTGGAACATATTACAATCATAAATTGTTTTAAAGAAAACTGAAATACGTGTGGAAAATATAAAGTCTAGGATTATTGTAATAATATTTTATCCAAAGTTCTAAGAAGTGTTCTTTGATTTGTAATATGATTATGTTTTTAATGCTTTTTTATTGAAAATGTTGTGCTTATTTAAGCGCTTATTCTTAATTTTTTTGTGCTTATAAATCCGCTCTCTAGTTACAATTATTCAAATTACTACAATGAATGGACAAAATAAGATCTTAATGATTAGTTTCTTGTTTTGACACGGAATTTGATGTAGAGGAGCCTGCTGCCGGATTCAAAGCAGATCTATGATGATAACGATTGCTCAATGATTCTTCTCGAAATTTCGATTCTATTAGTTAGAGAATCCTCTATGTGTCCTTCCACAACACTATTCGAACGTCCGTCTTTTTACACCTCTTAAATCTGCCCCAGAGTCTGCTAGTAGAGTTGCACTCAAACGCTTAAAACTATGACACGTGTATTCTTCTAGATTTTGAAGGCCTAGAGATTGTGCAATTTTTCTGGGAATTGTTGAAAAAGTGTTCATTCCTACCCCATCTCCACCAAAATTTTGAAGTAGTTTATTGAGTAAATTAAATCATTCGTATTTTTTTGAAAATTTTCATGTCGAAGGAATATGTTTCAGAAAAATATTTGCAAAATTTTGCAGGGGTGTCTAAAATAGACGAAATTATATTTTTCTACATTTATTTTAAATATAGTAATAATGAGTAATAAATAAAAGATCGCAAGGCTAACGTCCAAGCACAGTAAAATTAAGAAGATCTTTCAATGGTAAAAGAGAAAGTTGATGATCATATAAATACGCATAATTATGTATATTGTTATTAGGACCAGTAAGGAAACAATGAATAATGATTATAATTGCTGTAACAAGAATTTACGTAAAGTTCTTGATCAGAGTACCTAATATCTGCTTATAATTAACTGAGTTGTTAAATTTAAGTATGGTAAATAAAGATGTAAGTTAGTAGTAATCAACACTTCAGACGTGCAGCATGAAATCTCTGGTAATAATATATTTTTTAATATTTACGCTATAAGTGTCGCTGCTCATCATCAATATTTAATTTTCCTTTCACATTATATTTCAATTTTAAACCAAAAAATTATAATTTATTGATGTACCTACATCTATTAATTTGACTACTATACAGTCTGTTACAGTAGTGGCACTGAGCGTTCTTTGTGTTGCCATTACCAAACCTGTTTCTCAAGACCGCATACGATATGTCTCGGACGTGACGGCTACACATTTTGGGAATTCGCAAGATTTTAAAGACATAAATATACCATCTAAACAAGATACCACAAACAACCATCCCCACTTTTTTAATTTGACTAACGATGGTTCTGGAAATTATTATTTTCAGTAAGTTACTAGTCTCTCAGTTGTTTCCATAAATTAACGACTTTTAGGTTTGACACGTTTGGTTTACAACGCTATGAAATTGGCGAAGTGAAAAATGCGGGAACGGAAAATGAAATTCAGGTTGTTAGAGGCCAGTACATTGACCGGTACGTCAACGAAGACGGTGTACATGTTATTAGGAACATAGGTTATGTGGCGGATGAAAACGGCTATCGGCCCTTTGTTATATCGATAAATTTTGTTTTATCACAGCCTGCAGGAGGACCTGGTGCCCCTGGAGGTCAGAAGACAGAAATATCGTCGGCTGCGCTAGGCAGCTTAGTTGGTGGTGGTCTAGGGTAGATTTAAGCACTAAAGAAATTGTTACAGTTTTTGCTTTTAATGGTTAATTGTCTACCTTGTCTCATTCATTACTTTTATTTCAAATGTTCTGTGTAAGCAATTCTAAAACATAATAAACGAAAAATACAGATTTCATCATTAGATTAGATTAGTTTTTGGGTAAAATTCAACACGGCTTCATAAACTACATGTGTAGGACTACGTTATTTTAGTACAATTTGAAACCCATTTACTCTGTACAAGCTTGAAGTGGCGTCATCACATTCTTGATGGGGATGATTAGACAAATTTTGATGAGCGTTTTACCATCTACATGATATTCCTAATATAAATACAAAATTGGACAACTATCGGCTCAGTGCTTTCAGAGATTATCTCTCTAATAAAAGTCAAGTTTTACGTCAAAAAGTGTGATTTTAAAAGATCAAATTCCTGTCCGAGGATTCTGTACTTCAAACACAAATTTGGGGTTATTTTGCTTAATAAACATCAGCCCAACAACTGGAGGTCTTGAAATTAAAAAGGTATGGATGAATAATCAAAGTGACGCGCTGTGACCTTGAAATGTCAAAGTCATGCAATTTTAAATAACATGGAAGGTCGAGTGATTGAAGTCTTATTTCACTCTACACGTTCTACCAAAGTTTATAAATGAAATTTCATTTGAAGATAAGGAAATAAATAACTTTTGTTAGCACATGGTAAATTCCGATATTAATTAAACGAGCTTATAATGTTCAGAATGGGTTTTTTGAATATGTTAGATGAAATAAAGCAGATAACAGGTTTTAATTCTGTCAAGAGGTCCAATTATGCAGCATTTAATAAAATATCCTATTTGTTTAATTAGTTAATATACACATATATTCCTGTATTTTACGTTTTTCGGGGAGGTAAAATTTCAACACTACTTGAGTTTGATGGGATGTAAAAATCAAAATAATTTGTTCTTGTCTTATAAACGTTTGGTACAAGAAATTGAATTTCCCATATAGTGAACATGAGTAAATAAATTGGAATAGTTTTTCAACATTGTTGGTTGAAATTTTATTGGACATGATGAGTAGTTGTTTAAGTGCTCTAACGTCAATTCCAGTACTTACCAACAAAGTCGCCGCCATCCTTCCGAAAGCATGTCCTGTGTAAGATTTTTATGCTCTCGCAATCTTACGATGAAACTGGTAATCACAATATTGTTAAAAAGGGAATGTGTTTATTCGGTTTCTAACACGATTCTAACAAAATATGTACATCCAGGAGATTCTAGAGAACTGAAACCATTCCGTACTGTGAAAATGTTCTTGTCAAAAGTGTCAAATTAATTTAAACTGAATTTTTTATGATTTGATTCTACGAATGCGATTGTAGGAAAAATGTTATATTCCACATAGTTGTTAAATTCCTAACAAAATCTCGAAAATTCAAACATTCCTAGATTTTGTTATAACGCACTTACCGACCTCATTGTGTAATATACTATTATTTAGGATTAGTTAAGTTGCTTACCATCAGAATCATCATGTTAACAGTTTACGTTGTAGATAAACAATACCGTCTAGTTTAGCACAAATAGACCAAAATATAATGTTTTACGTAACATGCTGTGAGGCATCAACGCAAGGAACTAAACTTACTAAAGAACAGTGGTATTCGTAATTACTGACTCCCATTACTTTGTGTACTGTTTACCGACATATCGGTGTTTAAAATTGTAATAAAAACTATTTAGGTCAGCAAAAATTTTTAATTTTACTATTTTTACTTATTGGCAATTAAAATATTAATTGTGTGTGTTAAATATAAGTAAAAAATCTAATTCTAGAAATGTCGACAAATAATCCAGTGACTACACCCCAAGTAAAGATATAAATATCGTTGGGTGTGGGTGTGCTCCATACTCAATCTCGGCTTCAGATTCAGGAATATCAGTATCACCGTAGTCACTGATAGTAGTTACAGGAAGCTCACTGGTACCTTCTTCTATGATGGTTTTTGCCTTAGAAAGGTTAATCAGAAATTGTCGATAACCATTTTCGTCCAAGGTGTAACCAATGATACGAATATAATATCCTCCACTTTTTCTTTCAAAATGCTCGCCAAACTGGCCTTTTGTTAGTATAGTTTCTTGATCCTTAATCATCCTTAATTTGGTATCTTCATATCGACCGTTGTAGCTGAAGTCTTCGGCTATCGTCCTGACTCTAAAATATAACAAAATTTGTATCAAGAAAGAAATAAAATCACAACTCATTGATTTACTTGAGGGTGTACATCCCTGATTCTCCAGATATTAGTTCGTTGGAAACTGAATATATGTCCCATCCAGTTTCCAGTTCGGGTCCTGGAAGTCCGAGTGCTTTGTAGTTTTGTGGAAGACCGTATTTTGCAATAGATTCAGTTATTATTTGTTGGTCTTCGTCCATATTTTCTGGGGATGTGGGGTTAGTAGAAATTGCATCTTCGGGAGGAGGGGTGGTAGGAACAATTTCATCAGTTTGATTGGGGGATTGGCTGCTTACAATATGTGAGGTGTAGATAACCAAATTAATAAAGAACAGCTGGAAAATTAGAAAAAGAGTTTATTTTAGTTTAAGAGTTTATGATACACATATCACCAAAGTAAGTATATTAACTCATCAAAATAATACACAAAAAAAAGTTATCTTACCAGATTCATGATGAACACTGTTTTAGTACTAAAACAGACTAAGACCAAAATTGGTAACACCAGTCACTTTTATGATCATAGCAATATATTTTATCCCCTTCTTTGCAACCTTGATATATGTAAAAAAGACGTTTTTTCTAAAAACAAGTTACTCTACAAAAAAAATTTATGATAATAACATTTTAATTGTCTAGTGTCCGCTAAATTGCTGGCGTGGAGATCCCACAAGCCATCAATACATTAAATATGATACAGTTTGTGGTTTGGCCACCAATTCGCAAAAATCACGAAATTCCCGAAGACAGCATAGATGAATTTCGAGCAGTTAGTACATCAAGTAATAATCAAAACTGAAGTATTATTCATTGTGTTTTTTAATTTCGTTACTAATGTAATAAGTAATAACAATAACGAACAAATTTACTCTTAAGCTGTAATTCGTGTTGGTCTAAAAATCGCGTGTTGGTTCAAATATTCTCGAAAATTATCTGCCTACGGATATTAAATTTGAATTTAGAAAAAAGTTCAGCGAACTTTTAAATTATCAGGTTGAATTCTAGTTATTCCAGATTCTGAAACTTCAAAGTGTAAATCGGTTTTCGTTTTTTGATAGAAACATCGTCGAGCTGAACTCATTTACCCGCCCGGAAATAAAATTTAGAGTCAAAACTGTTTACTGTTTTATGTTTATTGTCAGATTTCCGTTTACATTCACACCTTTTAAATTTCGTTTATATTTCGAGACATAGCTTTTTTAAAAAAAAGTGTGGGTGGGCGGGGCTAATTATATTCTTGTGTCGAGTGAAACTAATAATGGAATCTAGAATAGTCTAATGAAAAAAGTAAAAAAAACCCTATCGTGTTTTTTTTTTGTTAAACTATTTGTTATAAAATTTTATTTCTTATTTCATGCATCTGACCTGACATTGACCTACCGTGACCTGACTTCTTCTAGTTGGAAAAATAGTCGAAAATGTCAAAAGTGTCAAAATCAGTTTTGTCTTATCAAATATTAGCCCCGCCCACCCGCCCTCCGTTTTTTGGAAGGTATTTGATTTGCCAAATTCAGCCTTATGTTAGTAAGTACTAGCCTCCCCCCCCTCTTCTAATTCGAAGGACTAATTTTACTTCTGTTCAGTATAAGATCATTTATTTGATTCAGATCGGATAAAATCAATCACTGAAAAAGAGGCAGGGTGGGTGGGCGGGGCTAGTATTTGATAAGACAAGACTGATTTTGGCGCTTTTAACATTTTCGACCATTTTTCAACTATTTTCAAAAATTAGTTGAATACATTTTCTTCTAGATTTCAATATTCAGAAGTGATTTTCGGCTTACTTTTTCACATCCTAGATTCTCGTAATTATTAGTTTCCATTCCCATTCCCACTCGAGAGAAGAACATAATTAGCCCCGCCCACCCACCCTGTGTCCTTTTCAGTGATTGATTTTATCCAATCTGAGTGAAATGGATCTGTACTGAACAGAAATGAAATTAGTCATTGGAACGAAAAGATAGGGATGGGTGAGGCTAGTACTTACCAAGATAAGGTTAATTTCGGCAAAACAAATACCTTCCAAAAAATAGAGGGTGGGTGGGCGGGCTAATATTTGATAAGATAAAACTGATTTTGACACTTTTGACATTTTCGACTATTTTTCCAACTAGAAGAAGTCAGGTCACGGTAGGTCAATGTCAGGTCAGATGCATGAAATAAGAAATAAAATTTTATAACAAATAGTTTAACAAAAAAAAAACACGATAGGGTTTTTTTTACTTTTTTCATTAGACTATTCTAGATTCCATTATTAGTTTCCACTATCACTCGACACAAGAATATAATTAGCCCCGCCCACCCACTCTTTTTTTTAAAAAAGCTTCTCAGGAACACCAACGACTAATTTTTAAATTACACCTGAACGTGCTCGCTGCGCTCGCGTTCTCAACATTCGTTTTTAAAAATTTAGTCTCACAACAGAACTATTTAAAAAAGAGCTTTACGGCAATTACTTGGGTTCGATTGTAATAAAAAATCTCTATAGCTTTGAAAAAAACACCATTAAAATGCAAGCGCAGCGAGCACGTTCAGGTCCTCCCCCCATATTTAGAAGTATCAATTTTAATTAATCGTCACTTTTAACTTTCGCCATGATCTGACAAGCATCAAGTTACCGTTCCGAGTGTGGTGAATTACTATATAAATTCCCACCCACCCTGTGTTTTTTTTGGAAGGTATTTGATTTGCCAAAATCAACCTTGTCTTACTCATTCCTCTTCTAATTCCAAGGACTAATTTTACTTCTGTTAAATATAAGATCTTTATTTGATTCAGATCGCATGAAATCATTTACTGAAAAAGAGGCAGGGTGGGTGGGCGGGGCTAGTTATGTTCTTCTGTCGAGGGAGACTGGAAACTAATAATAAAATCTAGAATATTCTAATGAAAAAAGTAAAAAAAACCGCTAATTGTATTTTTTGTTTGTTATACTATTTGCTATGAAATCTATTTCTTATTTCATGCATCTAACCTGACTGCCAAAATTAGTCTTATCTTATCAAATATTAGGTCGTTAAAAAGTATAGAAGCAGTTGAATATCCCGAGAACGGTTTGTTGCATCTCTATTTTCTGTAATTTTTTTAAACTTTAAACTTCATTTGTTTTCAAGATGCAAGGCTAACTCGATTTTTTTTAATAGCACCACTAGTCCATTTTTGATTTTTTAAGTAAAACGGGAAATAACATAATAAATTATTTTGTTATGAATAAATTCTAAAGTAGAAAATTGTACTCTCATCGATTTGTCATTGTGTACTAAAAACAAACTTCTTCATCCAGGTTTAAAAATATTCAGTAAAACACTAAAATGGCACCATTAAGACAAACTGAACGAATAGAAATCTTGATGATGGTAGATTATGGATCAAGTACCAGCATTTTTTAATGAAACTGATCTCAACCGAGAACAAGTCTCTATGTCGACGCTTTCAAAAATATTGCGCAGATTTAACGAAACTGGTAACGTTAGAAATCGTCAAAGAACCGGAAAATCAAAAAATGTTACAAATGAGTAGAACTCTTTTAATATCATCTTAGATATATATTATTTTCTAATGAGACAACTTTTTGTTTGAGTGGGCATGTTAATCGCCATCACTGTAGATACTGGTCCAAAACAAATCCACACTTGATGGAGGAGATTCATACACAGTACTCCCAAAAATCCAAATTTACCTGCAAAGTCCATCTGGTTCCTACAAGGTCGAGCACCATCTTACTTCGGGCGTCAGATATGGCATTACGATTATAGGACGAAGGGGAGCAGTTGAGTGGCCAACTAGGTTATCAGATTTAACGCCACTTGACTTTTATCTATGGGGTTATGTAAAAAATCGAGTTTATGTTAACAGACTACAAAGCATCGAAGAACTCCAAAAAAGCATATTAAATGTGATTGCTGATATTCCTCCTAATATTGTAATAAATTTAATTGAAAACTTATTGCAACGTATTTTTTATTGCCAGAAAGTAAATGGAGAACATTTCGAACATTTGTTGTAAAATTATTGTTTTTTAAATATTAATTTGATCTTTATGCAATAATGTAATTTTTTCTTTAAATTTTTCAAAGTTTCATAACAATATATTGTTATTTGTAGAATATTTTATAAATATTCTGTGGAAATACCATTTAAATCAATCCGTTACGCTGGCCCCTTTATCTCAGTTTATGTATCCTCAGTTCTGTCATTTTTACAACGATAGAACTGACAACGCTGACAGGTAATCGAACGAGTGGAACGTAAGCTAAGACTCATTTCACTTTTGTTCATGGCAAGTCGCGTTATCGGATTTTTTTGAAGTCTACCATAGACTTTGTTTGTTCTATTAAATTAATAGACAATTTTTAAAACTTTTTATTGAAATAAGTAACAGGCTGACAACGTATAAATAATGAAAATGCAATATGAAGTACAGATATTACATAAGTACTTTGAATGACATATGTATTAGGACAGTCTAAAGGTACCACTGTTTATAGGTTTAAAGAATACTAATTTTTTAATTAGCAACCCACACTAGTATTACGAATAGCTAAAAAAATATTCTCAGCATTGTTCACTTTTAACCCAGCGCATTTCCCCCGATTAAAGATCCAAGTACTGTAGATGATATTGAAACTTTGTCTCCAACCGGTCCACCAGGACCTCCACTAATAACAGAAACATGAGGCCTTGTTTTGGCTGTAGAAAGGTCAATGAGGAACTGCTGGTAACCGTTTTCATCCAGAGTATAACCGATAGTTCGAATGTAGTATCCCCAACTTTTCCTTTCAAAATGTTCAGCAAACTGGCCCTTTGTTACCGGAATTTCTTCAATTCCGATTTTCTTTATCTTTGTATTTTCGTAGCGGGCGTTATAACTGAAGTGGTCGGTTATGGCTCGTACTCTAAAATTTGAGAAATTGTAGGAAATAATAATAATAATAATAATAATAGTATATGGTTTTACTTGAGAGTGTACGCCCCTGACTCCCAATGTACTAGTTCATTGGAAATGGAATTCTTTTTCTTATCGGCAACCAGTTCAGGTCCTGGCAGTCCAAGAGCGGTGTAGTCTCGCGGAAAACCGTATTTTGTGATGGTTTCATTTATAATTCGTTGATCTTCGATCTCTTCGTCCGAGAGAGGAGGAGGAGGAATTTCGGTAGTTTGGTTGAGGGATTCGCAGTGTACAGAAGACACTGCGTAAACAGCCAAAGTAATGCAATGTAACTGAAAAATTAAAGAAGTAGTTATAATAATATATAGTCGTGAGCACATCAAGATGTTTATCAATATCAGATTCTTTATTACAATACATTTTTAATTTTTTTTTGATCATTCAAGTTCCAATGTTTTCCGTATCAGCAAGTGATAAAAATAATAATAAGTTATTGACGTGAGTATAAAAATATAAAAATATTTTATTATTTTATTTATTTTATTTTATTATTTGCTCTATAAGAGCGTTGACCTAGATTAATTATTATTGCATATTTTGTCGGTTTGAGCATATGTTTTACTTTGCCAAACTAACAAAAAAAATGTAAATAAAATAGTAAAAGAGATAATTAGATTCATCTATATTGCACAAAAAATCTATGAAAATAGTTCATTCTTTATTAGCTCTCAAATTTCAGGAGGACCAGAGAAAAACCAAGTTTCATCATTGTAATAAATTAGTGAAGCAATAAAGATGGAAAAAATTAACTGTTTAAACGGACTAACTGGTTGAGTGCTTAATTTGTGCCACTTTAGTAATATTAATGTATTAATAAGCGTTGTATTAAAGATGTTTTTATGAACATTTCTCTAGAAGTTGTACGTGGGATAAACTGACTGAATACTAAACCAAAAACCTGATTTTTAACTCGTCCTTGGAGTTGATAGCTGAAAATGATGAATCTGAATTACGATAAATGCTCGTATAGAATTAATGTACATAATTATTAAACACATATTATGATGTCTCGGTTTTCTTTTTCTGGAAGTACGATTGTACTAATTTCCCTGATAAATTGTAACAATGTCGTTGAAAATGATGTTTTCATTTTTTCAAACTTTACTTTATTTACTTATTCCCTCCAAAAAATTGATGATGTCAGATGAAAAACAGTAGAAGTCGAAAATACATGAAAAAGGCAACTAAAAATTTTCTTGAACCACCTGGCAGTGATATTAATCAAAATCTTAGAACAATTTAGTAACACATAGTGGAAGAATACAATTCTGACTGCGAAAATTGCTAAGAAGTAACGCTAATAAATTAGTCTGGAGGCACAGAGTCGGAATAGGCCTTTCACATTCCTAATACCGTTCTTGCCTCAGAGCCCGACTAAATTTAAAAAAATCATAACGGAATTGCTGTGCTGATGAATAATTAAATATGCTCGTTCATTCACTCTAGCTCAACTCGCTGCTTTATGAAAAAGACTTCTAATTGAATTTTTTTCTTTTCAAGGGTAGGATTGGTTAGCGAGGACTATCTTCTCGTGCAATAATTACACATAATTCAGTACAGTGGAATTTACGCGAGCGAATTTAAATTCGTTAAAAATGCTTTCGTAATTTAATAAATAAAATGTTAATTAGTCTCAAAATTTACAAAGTAAAAATACTGGTCCTGAAATTTAAATTAAACGTTCAAAGAAACCCCATACATTTTGGTGTTAATCGTCCATATCGTGGAAATATTAATTTATCACATATTCTATTTCGAAAATAAATTTAGAAATTTAAATGTTTGAAGCTTTTCAAAACTCTTACAATTATGATTCGGATTTTTTTTATTCATAGTTACTGAATGATGAGAATGCCACTCTAGTAAGCATACTTAGTTTAACCTCTAAAGGTTATGGTGCTCACGATTACTAACTTCTTTCAAAGAGGGCTCAATGAACTGTTATTTTCTAAGTAATTTGAATGTCTAAAGACTGAGAATTTTTTATTTTTACCAAAAATTATACAGCGTTAAGAAAGAATTCGGAATTAGCTTACCAGATTCATTATGTGTTCTGTTTGGAGATGACCGCACAACTAAATTGCAAACATCATTCATAACATAACAGAACTGCTGTGCACACCTTGCTATTCTACAAAAAAATCTTTTAGCTGAGTCGTTTCTTGTGAAGGCCGGTGTTGTGTAATGGAAAATTTTCTCATACACTAATTAGGTATAAACAAATTTAAAGTTAACCAAGTAACATATTATTAATTAATTTTTATCCAGTTGAATAAATTTTGTGAAAGAGTTTTGAGCTGTTGAGTTGATCTTCCTAAAGCGAAATGATTGTAAACGGTATTTAAGATTTATTTAAAACTATAGCAATAACGATTGCTTTTTTGTTGTTTAGATTTCAGTAGTTCAGAAAAATTTAAATTTGTCTTTAAAATATTATAGTTTGTTCTATTAATTTGTGAATGTATAAAATCATAACATTTACATTACATTAGGAGTACTAAGTTTATAAAAAAATGCACTTAAGACTCATCTAAGCAGTTAGTAGTCCAACCAGAACACTAATCTAAAATGTAATTTTTCATTTTTTGTCATTTAGTAAAATGTAACTAATGTAGAAAACATCACTTCTTACTTTTTAAACAAAAATGTGAACTTTTCTGGCGTTTATGTTGGCGTAACGGAAGTAATTGACAGATATGCGATAAATTTAGGTTATGTTTTGGACACATTTTACAAATTAAACATGTCAACAATCTGTCAATCTTGACAGTTAACAACTGGAAATTATAGAAAATATCATGATACCAATTTCAACTAAAAATTCAGGATTGAAAATATAGAAACTGGACCTCATATCAGACCAGAGTGGTTTGGCTTTTGGTTTAACAGACTCCACTGCAAGAATTTTCCACTCTTTTTAGGACATTTTATCCATTTATTTTGAATGTGTTAATTGATAAAGTCATCCAGCGTAGAAGCACGTAGGGTAAAGTTCAAGTGCAGTAAAATGAGACGATGCATCAATGTTAAAAGAGAAAGTTCGAGTGAATACGTAAACGGGTTTAAATTTGTATATTTTTATCATATTAAGTCAGTAAAGAAGCGGTTAATATTGTTAGAGCAAAATTTTTAACTCAAAGTGCTTGATCAGAATAATGTGTGTTTGTAATTATTAACTAAATAGCAGTTTGGATCTTCTCTAACTTTTGTAAAGTATTCTCACACTTCAGATGGACAATATGGAATTTCTGGTAACAATAATATTCTATTTGTTTCTAATAATGCTTGACTAAATTTTTTATCTTCTGTTTATACTTAAATAATGTAGTAAAATTTTCCACATTCAAATTTTTTGCTATTATGATATTGTTCTATTTAATTGTCACTTTAGGAATTTTTTTCGTGTGTCGATAATAATTTTACGATGACAGTTTGTTACAGTACCTAACCGTAATGACCTTTTTTTGTATTGGCATTGGCAAACCTGATTCGGAAGACAACATAAAATATATCATGGACGTGGCGATTACACATTTCGGGTTTAGAGACACTAAAGACCTAAATCTACCTTCTAAACAAGATACCGAAAACAGTCACCCCCATTCCTTTAATTTAACTAACGATGGTTCTGGAAATTATTATTTTCAGTAAGTTTTTCGTTCGCCGTTGCTTCGCTAAATTAAGACTTTTAGGTTTGATACGGCCGATATAGAACGCTTCGAAATTGGCGAACTGAAAAATGCAGGAACGGAAAATGAAATTCAGGTTGTTAGAGGCCAGTACCTGGATCGATCCGTCAATGAGGATGGTGCGTTAGTTGTTCGAAAAATCGGTTACATTGCGGATGAAAACGGTTATCGTCCTTTTCTCATATCCATACAGTTTCTGCTATCTGTTGCTGATACACCTGGTGGACCAAAAGGACCCAAATCAGATATATCGTCGGCTGCCTTGGGCAGCTTAGTTGGTGGTGGTCTAGGGTAGATTTAAGCTGCGGTCAAACTTCAGTCAGTTTTTATTTCATGAACATAATGCTTTGTGGTTCTGATTAATATTGTGCACTAGTTAATAAAAAATAAAACAAGTAAATATCGTTTTTAACATTTTTTTTTATAACTTTAGACAATTTTTTGTGATTATAAAAAGCCTCCGGCATAATCAATGTCATAGTGAACAATAAACTTAAAAGATTTCGAGGACAAAGTTTAAGCAGAGTAAGAGACGATGATCCGTCATTATTAAAAGAGAAAGTTGGGGTCAACACAAACATATTGAGTTAATTATGCATATTTTTATTAAGACCATAACGAAACTATAAACCATTATTGTAGCATAAATATACAGGTTGTCGAGAATTTTGAACTAAAAGTTCCAAATCGGGATTATTCTTGTTCCTATTTGGTTACTTTTGAACTTTAGTAACCTTTATAGGCATCATCTGCCTACCATAATAATAAGATTTAGTATTGATCAATCCTTCAAAAGTGCAACATGGATTCTCTGGTAACAATAATTTTCTCTTTTTTACCAATTCTTGTACAAGTTTTCTGACACAAACCTAGCAATTTATTAATCAGTAGTTATTTTTGTTATACTAGCTTATTTTCTAATTTGTTCTTCCATTTTTATGAAATATTACTAAAATATAGGACCAATTTTCTTCCCTCATTTTACATTTGTCTCGACTACAGCTTGTTACAGTGGTGGTACTGAAAATTTTTTGTGTTGCCAATGGCAAACCTGTTTCGCAAGACAACTTACCATATATCTCTGAAGTGACAGCTACACATTTTGGGAAATCGCAAGACTTTAAAGACGTAAAAATACCGCCTGAACAAAATAGCATAAACAACCAACCTCATTCCTTTAATTCGACAAATGATGGTTCTGGAAATTATTATTTTCAGTAAGTTGCGGGTTTTGGAGTTGCTTCTGTAATTGAAATATTTTTAGGTTTCGTACGTTTAATTTACAACGCTATGAAATTGGTGAACTGAAAAATGCAGGAACAGACAACGAAATTCAGGTTGTTAGAGGCCAGTATGTTGATCGATACAAGGGAAACCGTGGTGATGTTGTTCGAAAAATAGGTTATGTAGCGGATGAAAACGGTTATCGCCCATTTGTCGTATCTGTAGATTTTGTTCCATCGCTTGTTGCTGCAAGTTCTCCCCCACGTCCTGGTGCTCCAGCTGGACCAAAAACAGACATATCGTCGGCTGCCTTAGGCAGCTTAATTGGGGGTAATTCAGGGTAGATTTAAGCTATCAACAAACTGTTAAATCGTTTGCATTTTTATTTTTATTGTATGACAATAATCTTTTGTGGTTAGTAGTGTGCGGAAGTTAATAACAGATAAATAAACAACAACCTAAGGTACTAAACAGTTTGTACCGTATTAAAAAAAAATGACGACTAGTGTTTTATTTACTTCAATAACGTAATTCTGCTATACTTCAACTAGTGAGAAAACACCTGAAATAATGTCGTTACACACTACTTCAGATACACATGGACTAGTTTATATAATTTTTAGTAAAGGTAAGTACTTGGTACTTTATACTTGATGCAGTATTTTTGTTGAACACTTTGAACAACCCTGTAGGATTTAAAAATTAACATGGAATCTATAGACACTGTACATTTAATTATTTTTTTACAATTCTCTCGTTCTCTAACTTGATCCTCCTATCTTATTCTCGATCATCCGACTATAATTTTTCCGTGTGTTCTAGCCTCAAATGTTTCTTTAGCTACTCCATCCTCTTTTACTCTAATCAGATGTCCAAGTCAGCTCAGCGGTCTTTCTTTTATCACTAGCTGTTCTATCGATTTTTTCATCAACCCTTCGACTGTTACTGCTTTTTGTTTTCAATCTTTCTTTGCTCTTTTTTCCCAAAGAATGAGTTTTTGGAGCTGTTGTGTAATCTACCCACTTGTCCATGTTTATTTTTTATTGCTCTTTTTGGTAGTCAACTACATTTTGTTCCAAATCATTTTCTGATTCGGCTACAATCACCATATTTAAGAGTTGAATAGCTCTCATCTTCCAGAATCCCACTGTCATACCCCTGATTTTTCCTCTGAATTTTTCTATAGCGTCGTATAAGACCATGGACAACAATAATGGGCTATGTACAGTACACATCCTTGTTTTATTCCTACTTTCTTTGTAAATCCAGTGGATTCGTCTTTATTCTATGTGTTCCTATCTTGTTTAGGTCAATTTTAAAAGAGCTTGAATTATTTTTATCATATCTTTTTAGACTCTTTTTTTTCAGACTGTCCCAGACGTATCTCTTTATATTATCGAAGGCCTTCTTGAGATCGATAAAACACATATGTAAATAGTTCAAGCTTTTCCGTAATTTTTTTTCTGTAATTTCTGTGAGGACCTTTCCTGGTATGCTTGACAATATGATCCTCTATAGTTGGAACATTTTTTTTTGTACAGTGATAGAATTAAACTCACGTTCCTTTTTTGTTTCAATAAAGCGATTTACTAGGTCTTTCAATTTTTCCTATATCTTAACATTTCTAACGTGATTGCGTTTTGACCTGGGTTTTTTTCTGTCTTTAACTTGTTGATTGCTGTTTGTACTGCTAATAATCTAGGCGGTTTCTTTTGCTTTAGTTGTTTCTAGGTCCTATAGAATAGTTTCTGATTTCCAGCGTAGTTTTCTTTCAATCTGATTCCAAATTCTCTCCATGCCTGTTTGTTCAGTTCTTTGACTACGTATTTGACCTCCCTGTTGATTGTTTTGTATAAAACATAGTCTTCCTTTTTTTTTCCTTTTATCTTAGTTTGTACTTGTGGCGTCCGCCACTTACTTTTCTTTATATGGATTATTATTATTATTTTTATAGTTTTATTTGGCTGTTGGTGTTATGCTGTCTTTGAAGTAGGTCCATTTGTCTGCTATTCCCAATTAATTGGGATTAAGATTGTTTGCTTAATCTACTAAGTATGCACTTTGTTTTGAAATGTTGTCTTAGTTCGTCTTCTTGCAATCTATAACAATTGATCTCTTCTTTAAATGTTTTTCTTCTAGTTTTCGATTTTCAGTTTTTATAATTACTTCCCATGTATCTTTGGATATCTTCGTATTGTTGTCCACTCTTCCATTGAAGCTTTCCATGATCATGGTGTTTCCTATTCCTTTATCCATCTAGTAATTTGAAGAATTCATCTTTTTCTTCCTTTTTACGTCATTTGGTGCATATGCGATAATCATAGAACTAATATTCTTTCCTTAATATTCCTCTAGGTTTTGAAATTCATCCTTTCATCTCGGCTTACTATTAATCCTACATCTCCTCTTTGGTTTTTGTAACTCCTAGGTAGTCTAATCTATATCTTTTCATTTTTGCTAGCTGGTTTTCCTTGCTATTTATTCCTCTAACGTTCCAAGTCCCAATTTTTATTAAATTATTACTATTTACCTTAATTTTCCAACGCGATTTCTGTATTATTGCATCTCCTGGTTAGTTTTTTGGATTATAGTGCGTTTTTGTTATTTTTCTGAGCTTTTTTCCTAGCGTGTCTTCACCGGGCGATCGTTTTTTTTACAGTTCTTTTTCTTCCTCTGCTTCCTTTCCTCTTTTGTTCCTCCTGTTGCTTTATTTGCAAATTTCATTGTTAACTACCAGGTATCAGCGGTCTTCTTTCTTCCTCTACCTTCTTAGGAAAATCTTCGTCTTCCCATAAATTTGTACCTTTTAATTCTTTGTTTGTCTTCGTATCTCAACTTTCATTTCCCTTGTTCTAAGCTTTAGTACCAGGGGTCTTACTACTTCTGGTTTATACCTCTCCGTTCTGCTAACTTCATCTATATAGTAGGGTCTAGTATCACTCTCATTTTCTTGATTACTTTTAACACTTTAGTTCTCGTACCTTCCTCTCATTTTCCTTCTTCACTTGTTACGTATTTGATAACTAGATTGTTCTTTGTTGCCAAGTGTAAACTAAGGGAGTCATCGGACGAATGGCCACTTTTATATTTTTTCGACGTTTCATGACCCCTACAGTACGAAAAAAGTAGTTTCCCGTTTCCGTCCGTCTGTCCGTCTGTCCGTCTGTCTGTCTACCGTCCCGGATTCTTATTAGACAGATAATCTCCGCAAGTACTGGGCCGATTGTTCTCAAATTTTCTATGTATGTTAGAAATATCATGTACCTAGATGGTTAAATCTTGGCGAAAATTTGGCTAATCATCCCCACCAACAATTTTGTGACGTCATCTCAATGAACCGTATTTTAAAATGAGTAGAATGTTATACTCTTATACTTGTAGTGTACGAATCCGCTGTCAGTTTTTTGCCGAATAAATTCTACCCAAACTGTGCAAAATATGACGAGTTTTTGCTTGTCGTTGCATGAATAGTTTTTAGATTTGCTTAAACATGTGGCTCAAAAAATTAATGAATGAGTCAATTTATTTTATTGATTAAAACAAGAACGGTTCACTCCATTTTTCCAGAAAATTTTTGGAGTAGCATACTGTTAATATTAGTGTAACACTGCACTCGTCCAAGTTGATATACGTATCCTTGTTTTTTCTTACACTGTGACTCTAGGAAATGGGTTAATTAAAACACAATTGTCCTTAAAGTGCGTGTATTAAAAATGCGATCCGTTCGTTTTAAAAGCTTATTACGAACTAACTTTTAAGATCACAAATACGCATATATAAAATATAAAATTCAAACTGAAGTACTCAGCGTTTCTCGGGCGTCTTACATTTATCGCCCTTTATAAACAAATACTTAACAGTAAGCTAAACAGAGAATGTATGGGATATGGTCGTAATAATTTTTGCCTTCATTAATATATTGAATTACAACACTCCCACTCAAAAATTGAAACGACGAAGTAAATACAGGTATCTTGATTTTGTTACCAAGTATATAGCTGAAGATAATTATTCTTAACTACAAAAGCGTCCCTATTGTAAGCCAATGTTATTTCTCATTGCTTTAAATTTTGCAACAGGTACCGCTTTGGTGAAGATGTCAGCTTGTCGTTCACCTGTGGAGACATATTTAATGGTTATGTTGCCTTTTTCAAGTTGCTCTCTCGTAAAATGATATTTAATATTTATATGTTTTGACCTTTTGTGATTTGTGGGGTTATTTGCAATGTTTATGCACTCGATGTTGTCTTCAAAAATGACAACTGGATTTAGAGCCCTTATACCGATACTAGTTAACAAAGACTTAAGCCACATAGCTTCTTTTACACTTTCAAATAATGCTATGTATTCAGCTTCAGTTGATGAAACTGCAACTGTTTGTTGTTTTCTAGTATTCCAGGTTATAGTACAAGTGGTGAATAATTTGTAAAGATAGCCACTTGTACTTTTCCGGTCAATGTCATTGCTTCCCCAATCTGAATCCACATAGCCAATTAAAATGTTATTAATGTCACCTTTTGTATATATTAATTCTAAATCAAGAGTTCCTTTGACATATCGTAATACCCTCTTTAAATATTGCCATAAAGTTTGATTATTTGTTTGGTATCGACTTAAGATGTTTACTACATATGACAAATCAGGACGTGTGCAAACCATTGCGTACATTAAACACCCAATCAGATTTTACAAGGTGCATTGTAACCTTCCTCTGAATTTAAGCCCACATAATCAATTTTTTCCGGCAAGGGCGTTTTAGTAGACTTGCAGTCACTCATATTAAATTTTTGTAACACAGCGTTCAAGTAGGACTTTTGGTTAAAAGACATTCTAGTGTTTTCCCTTTTAATTTCTATTCCTTAAAAAGAATCGAACCTCATTTAGATCTCTCATTTCAAAACATGTCATGAGATATTTTTTTTTACAGGAGAACATTGTGTGTTTATCCTGTGTGGCATTATTAAATCATCTACATATAATACAATATAAATACTTTTACTAACATGTCCTTTATTTAAGTAGTAAAGGCAATGATCGACTGCTGAATTTTGAAAACCTTTTGCTTTAATTATGGAGTCGAAATGTTCAAACCACCGTCTTGACGCCTGTTTTAGACCACATAACGCTTTATTTAATTTGCACACCTGATTGTTTGCAGTTTTAACACCGTCCGGAACTTGCATATAAATTTCTTCATTTAATGTTCCGTTTAAGAAAGCCGTTTTTACGTCCATGTGATGGACTAACAAATTAAACTGATTGGCAATTGCTAACAGTAGCCTGAAAGTGGAAATCCTTGCGACTGGTGCAAAAGTCTCTGTATAATCAGCTGGATAAGTTTGAC